AAAAGTGCTCTGGAAGTCGAGGACAGACCTGGCCCTAGGGTCTGCCTTCTCTTTCAGGGTTTCTCTATTACACAAAAAAGAAAAAAACAAGCAAACAAAAAAAACACTGAGACTAATTCTTATTAAAATAATTTGACCTTTAAACCAAATTACATGGACTCATAATTCATGTCATTTTGTTACAATTTATTTTATTTTTAATTAAACATAACATGTATCCATATTTATGGGACACAGGGTGATATTTTGATACATACATATATGTAACGATCAAACTGATTTTAATACAAACTTGACATGCAGAGGAAAACGAAATCCCAGTCTCCAAAATTCTACTTCCTTATAGAACATAGCAGCATCTGGGCGAGGACGGATTTATGATGAAGATATAAATATCCCCTTAGGAAAAGCTGGGCTGGAAACAGGACCTCAGGATAATGTCACTGGTGATGATCTGTGTTTCTATTCCCAACTGCAGCTTCAAACTGGAGCTGTGAAGGAAGCCAGGGATTTGTGAACAAAGGAGAAACTGAAGCCAGATATCGGGGGATTTGCAGAAGTCTGGACTGTATCCTAGAAGGTTCCGGAGTGAAGCAGGAATTCAGAGGTGGAATGTAGAGCTACCTCTAAGTGTCTGTATGTCTTATCAGAATTCCAAGCCAAACAGGGCCCTTACCCCAAGCAAGGAGCTGTGGAACAGGCTTTGAACAAAGTAGGAAGACAGCCTGACTGTGTAGGGTCTGCCGTAGCTCAATCCCTCTCTCTCCTTGCTCAGTGAGGGGTGCCCACCCGCATGGTGCCACCACCTGTCTGCATTCCCTGACTGATCTGTTCTCCCACCCCTTCAGTGTCTTTGCTGCTTCCTGCAGAGCTCGACCGGCAAAACCTGTGTCCAAGGCCAATGACCTGCTTGAGGAATTAGGCCATCTTTTCTACTCTCTATCCAGTAGGCTCTCACATTTCCACCAAAACTTATCTAATAGTTGCCAGGAGAGTGCTTTGATTACTACTGATGACTTGCATTGACTGCTCTGGTCTTTGACGTGGGAAAGAGGGTACTTTTAACCTCAAAGGGCATGGACAACAGTAATTGAATTTACCAAAGAATTTTTCGACCATTTGTTTTGGTGGTGCATCACCAATTATACAATTAACTAGGCAACGGATATAATTATGTTAAGTAGATGCTGGAGACAAGATCAGATTTTATTATCAGTGTGTACCCTCAGTTTGTACCAGTTTGTACCCTCAGCATGCTAACAAAAAATATACGTTGGACCAGGTGCAGCGGCTCTCCCTTATAATCCCAAGTACTCTGGAGGCTGAGGCAAGAGGACTGCAAGTTTGAGGAGAGCCTTAGAAATTTAGTGAGATCCTGTCTCAAAAAATAAAAAGGAGAGAGGATGTTTCTCAATGGCAAAGCAACCCTGAATTCAATCCCTAGTCCTTGGGGCCCCCAAAAGGTTTCTTTTTGATTCCTTTTTTGCATTGTTGGGCAAGTTCATTAATTGGTTGGGCCATTTTGGCAAATTGGCGGAAAAAAAAATGCTTCAAAATCGATGAGTCTGCCTGAGACAATTTTGTACATCAAGAAATGAGGAAAAACATGTTGGATACTTGTTGGCTCTGTTAAAAATATTCCCTGCTGTTGATGTCCCATGTGAAATGTGCTGAATTAGTTGACTGTTTTTTAATCCATTGAAGACTTAGAAGGTTAAGAACTAGATGAATATCCTGCTAGTTAAGTTGATTAAGAAACATTTTTTTTTTACGCCTGAATTTCGTATGATAAGCTAGATGAGAAAAGTGGCCAGCAGGATTGGGTGGTCTGACCCCACCAACTTCTTCTCTCCCGACTCCCTCCCCGGGCATCAAGTAAGTCAAGGGCCCTCTTAGGCTTTTCTTGGTGTCTTGGACATTGTAACAAGCGCTGATGACCTTCTGAGGGTTTGCCATTCCTGACCTTGCCACTGCCCTTACTCTAGTCTCATTTGTAAGAGTCCATGCTTACTTATGGCCAAGGAATCTCAGGGCTCTCCCCACCTTTGTGGTTAACTATCTAGCCAAATGGGCCTCAGCACTTACCTTGGAACTTCATGTTCCATAATTTTGAAATTATAATTGATCTCATTTCCTTTCTCAATTTTTTTTTTAAAAAGAAGGAATTTTAAACCCAATAAAATATAGTCACCATCACTTTCGAGACAGCAACATGCAAAATTAAATACGGAAGTAGGGAGATTGCAAATGCTTTTTCAATGATGGAACTGAAGGCAGCAAGATGATGATGCAAACATTTAGGCAAATATAAGGCTGGGGTTTAATTCCAAGAAACACAGTGTTAAATATGGGATTCCAGTCAATCCACGGGTGCTCTCCTTTGCTAGTTGATGGCAAGCAGTTGTTCAGATTAACACAATGTACTAACCAAGAGGTTAGCTAATGTTTATTTTGTCTAGCTGTTTTGACCAAAGGGCCTCCATAAACTTCTTTCCTCATAGTGTACACTGAGAAATAGGTAATATGATTTATTTGGCTATCATCTTCCATTTAGCTTGAAGACATTTGTCATAAGAAAGTCATCATTTCCATGATCAGAGAAAGTCAAAGAATAAATGAATACAGTTTATGGACCTTAGTAGAATCTGAAAGCTTGTCTCTAGATCAGTTGCAATGAATGGTCCCAATAATGAACCACATCAGAAGATGGTGCATAATTCTCACAGTTGTAACTTGTACTTCTAAAATCGTTCCATTGTTCAGCAACAAATTTTCCACATAATTGAATTTGCTCGCTGGTAACTTGAATTAATTGAAAATTCATGCACCCATTAGCATGTTTTGGAAGGTGTTTTAAAAGTGGCTTGTTTAGAACAGTTGCTGGCACCCCTGGAATTCACAAGGATGCCAACCAAATGCCATTACAAATAAAAAGTGTTTTTCTCTTTTGGCAACATGAAAGAGCAGAGTTACACAGTAGCTCTTAATTTATGAACTATGCTTTCTAACTTTCAGCCTCCCACGATACATGCACTTTTCTTTAAGGAATCAGGGTAGGAGCATGTAATAAAAACAAAAATCCTATTTCCACATCTGCTTTCTAATTTGAAATCATATGGGCCTCTGATTGTCATTCATCCCATTCTCAGGCATCCTGGATCAAGTAGGAGCAGAGACTGAATCCCATAGTAACTTGTATTTGTAGTGTCATTTAATGGCGGATGAGATAGGAATCTCCAAGGGCCAATGGATGGTGATTGTTAAAGCAATTCAATTTTGGCAAATTTTCTATTTATTTATGCTACGAAAAAAGTTTATGGCACTATTTTACGTTCTATATTCTAGAAAGCATTTTGGCAGCCCCAGGTCATGTTCTGAAGTTATAGAATCGTCCTCCCAAAACCATGCTGTCAGTGCTAACCAGCAAGAGAACATAGGTACTCAGAACAGATCAGGCGGAGAGGCAGGCAGGTGGACAGAGAAATCCACTGGAGCCTAACAGTGTTTTGGGGCGGTGAACACAGTGCCTTCTCCTAAGTGGTCCACTAAACAAAGAGTTCATTGTAAGTGGGCCTGATCCCTAGCAGAAAGAGGACAATGATTCAATTTCAGTGGGAGTAGTTAACTCTTTCTTCCCTTTTTCAGGGAGGACGGTGTTGAGTGAGTATTTAGTGAACCTTTTCCCTGGTTGGTGGCAGGGGATCTTAGTGTCAGGGACAGTATTTAATTCTCACTGCATTTTCTATGCAGCCGAATGGCAGGATCCTCTTGTATAATCTCCCTTCCGGCACTCCCTTTCTCCCAGCTAGCCTAAGTGGAGTACGCAGAATATTCTAATAATCACTAAATCATGAAAATGGTCTGCAGTTAGTTCTCTGTTTTATTTTCATACAGAAGTGACTAAAGAGGATTTTTTGACTTTGTATTTTTAGAGTTTACTTTCAGGCTTGATCGGGGAAATCCACTGGTCTATAGCAAGGATACTGAAAACTGTATGTTGTGCTTTAACGTTGTCACAACTGAGCTTAAAGGGAGAACAATGATACTTTGCCTGGGGTTGGTTGTGAAGGCATCGGAAAACCAATGAAGAACTAGAGAGAAGGATCCAACTGCGTGGCAGTAGGCTCCCTTTAAGAGAGAACAAGATTAGCAACTTTGGCAAATTTTAGGTTTCTATTCAGAGGGAAAGAGACGAGCTGCCAATGTCTAAGGGGGGGGGGCATAAAAGAATGAAAGAAAGGATGGATGTTATGAGACAAAGACAGAAGCAACTCTACACCTTACCGAAAGCTTACCTGGGAGTGATTTTAACTCCTCTGGGCTAAGAAAGGTATTTTCCAGTTAAGACTAAGGGTGGAGCTTGGGGGAAGGTGTTTAATCTGCAGTAGATGCTCCGGGGTTCTGCTCTATCCTGGGAAGCACACAAGGAAGAGAAGTGTGTGTGGGAAGAAGACAAAGCAGCAGGCAGTGGAGGTGAGGACCACTTATTAGCAACCAGCACGTAAGTTCCATTAAGTGGAGGTAGAAACTCTTTCTTGTGTTGTTCTCCAAGGAAAACTGTATGGATTCAGCACTGGGAACACTTATAAGACTGCTGGACAAATAACCAAATTATAGTTTACCTTTGTCTATTATGAATTAGTTTGTTTTCTAGATGCCCTCATGCAAGAGGAGTCTACAAAAACAAAAGCCAATGTTTTCTATCCTCAGGTCCGAAAGAGTAGTGAGGCATCATTTGGTATAATCATGGTGTTTACTCAAGCTTTCCGCATATAGAAAAAAAAACGTTATTTTCTCTAATTGCATATTTTGTTGCTATCATGACTCTATTGAATTCTAAACTGAAACGAGAAATCGATACTGAATGTCCCTATGGTTCAAACGAAGTCGTAGCTATTTCAGGTGGCAGATAATTGCTGCAGATTTGTCCAACGGCTATGAAGGTAGAAATCCAAAGCTAAAGTTCAGTGGGTTTAATTTTCTTATTTATTTATTTTTAGATCTTAACTGAAAAAAAAAAAATCAAGAACCATTAACACACCTAGAACGATTACAGCTCCAGAACTCAACTGAATGCTCTAAAGACACAACGGAGAATGAGCTATTACGGCAGCAGTTATCGAATTGTAAACGTGGACTCCAAATACCCAGGCTACCCCCCAGAGCACATCATAGCTGAGAAGAGGAGGGCCAGACGGCGTCTCTTGCACAAAGACGGCAACTGCAATGTGTATTTCAAGCACATTTTTGGGGAATGGGGGAGTTACATGGTGGACATTTTCACCACTCTGGTGGACACCAAATGGCGCCACATGTTTGTGATCTTTTCTTTGTCTTACATTCTCTCCTGGTTGATCTTTGGCTCCGTCTTTTGGCTGATCGCCTTTCATCACGGAGACCTGCTCAATGACCCGGACATCACACCTTGTGTCGACAATGTTCACTCTTTCACGGGGGCATTTTTATTCTCCCTGGAGACCCAGACCACCATCGGGTACGGTTACCGCTGTGTCACCGAGGAGTGCTCGGTGGCAGTGCTCACGGTGATCCTGCAGTCCATCCTAAGCTGCATCATCAACACCTTCATCATTGGAGCTGCCCTGGCCAAAATGGCAACTGCCCGAAAGAGAGCCCAGACCATCCGATTTAGCTATTTTGCTCTGATAGGCATGAGGGATGGGAAGCTTTGCCTCATGTGGCGCATTGGTGATTTCCGACCAAACCACGTGGTGGAAGGGACCGTGAGAGCCCAGCTTCTCCGCTATACAGAAGACAGCGAAGGGCGGATGACAATGGCCTTTAAAGACCTCAAGTTAGTCAATGACCAGATCATTCTCGTGACCCCTGTGACAATCGTTCATGAGATCGACCAGGAGAGTCCTCTGTATGCCCTCGATCGCAAAGCAGTGGCCAAAGACAACTTTGAGATCTTGGTGACCTTTATCTACACTGGTGATTCTACTGGGACCTCACACCAATCGAGGAGCTCCTATGTGCCCCGAGAAATCCTCTGGGGCCACAGGTTTAATGACGTCTTGGAGGTGAAGAGGAAGTATTACAAAGTGAATTGCTTGCAGTTTGAGGGAAGTGTGGAAGTGTATGCCCCCTTTTGCAGTGCCAAACAGCTGGACTGGAAAGACCAGCAGCTCCACAACATGGGGAAGTCATCACCCGTCCGAGAATCCTGTACCTCAGACACCAGTGTCAGAAGAAGGTCCTTTAGTGCCGTTGCCATCGTCAGCAGCTGTGAAAACCCAGAGGAGACCACCACCGCTGTCGAGGAGGAGTGTAAGGAAGCTCCCTATCGGAAAGCTCTCCTGACTCTAAATCGAGTCTCCATAGAGTCCCAGATGTAATCCTGCACACAAGCAGGGCTACTACCTGATCACTTTATCTTCAGCCAATCACCTAAGGCAAGTAGTTGTAATCATGGCTTTAAACAATGCTACAGCTGTGTTCTGGTGATGGTAGTGAGTAGAGTAGGTTAAACTCATAAAAAATAATATATAAACTCCATAGCTTTATGTCATTAATTTTTTTTTTTTTTGCTAGCAAATTTGGTTTAGAAATCTATTATGAGGACGAACGGAGTAAGTTTCATCTCCTTTCATATCTCATTTACTTGTATCTTCAATTGGAGGAGCAATTTTCAGTAATGGGGAGTAAAGACCAGGTGCTGAAATCAAGAAAAACTGGAAGACAGGAAAACTAGAATGTGTAAGTTTTTTTAATCTATAGAAAATGATAACCGGAGAGTGCTTCCTTGTAAAAAGCATCCTGTCATCTAACCAAGACATATAAGCCATGCCTTGAGTACCGTCATATTGAGATACGTAAATGTGAAATCATTGGCCAGACAGAGTCACCCAATTTGCCTCTCACAGTGTCTCATTATCAGCAGGCAGACACAGAGGCTGTAAAACAACTGGACAGTGCACCAATTCTGGGACTTTTCCCATTGCCGCTTGCCTGGGTAACTAATGAGTCCTGGAGCTAACTAACCCTGTGGCAGAAGAAACGTTGACGTTGTTATTTAGAGCAGTGTCACTCTCTCAAAGACAGTGGTGGACATCCTCAGACCCTTTGAGAGAGAACTTTGCCTCTGTCCTGAAATCGTGCAGTATGGGCTGCTATGCAAGGAATAGAAGCCTCCCCACCTCCCACTCCCTGCTCCTTGGCGCAGGTGAGGAGAGAAGGATGTGTTTATTTGTGCCCAGAAACATCTTGGTCACCTTATCTAGAGACATAAATGCCTCTAGTTCGAAATTGAAAATAAAATCTTTTGTTGAACAAGCATTCATATGGATGATTTTGTGAAATATGGATGATTTTTTGAAGGCAATTTTAATATATATTAAATGAAGAATCTAAATGTTAGGGGACTAGTTACATTTTAGAACATGGGATAAATTTATATACTCTGTTTTTAGGTTAATAGCTATCAAATTATAATTACTTTAGGCATAAATTCAATCACCTTTGAGGGAAGAATCAATTTCAGAATTATCAATTGAGGCATTATTAGCTACATTTGAAATTATTTGTGTGTGTGTGTGTGTGTGTGTGTGTGTGTATGTGTGTTTTCTGTTGTTACTGCTTTGGCAATTAGTGTATGCCACATATTTTATTTGTTTATTTTATTTAAATATACATCTCTATAGACATACACACAGTTTCTGTTTTCTTTCTGGAAAATCAATCTCTCTCTCTCTCTCTCTCTCTCTCTCTCTCTCTCCCACACACACATTTTTCTTTCTTTCTCTCTTCCCTTCCTGCCTGGCTTCTCTCCTTCCTTGTTTCTTTCCCCTCTTCCTATTGCCCAGAAGCAAGTTACTTTTTAAATGAACACACAAAAAATCTGTCATTCCCGTTGACTTGTGAAATAAAAAATTTGCTTAGGTCATAAGTTGCAAAACTCTTCTGGACCTTAACAATCAGAGATCTAAGTGATGTACATTTTGCACATTTTTTTCTGTCTTGCTTCAGGAATGCAAATTCCATTTTTTTTTTTAAAATTATACACACGCACACATGAAAATTTGGATTTTATAGCAGCAATAATTGACAAAATTAGAGTATTACAATCTCCAACGTAGAAAAAGAATAATAAGGACAATAATCAGAAAGCACTCCTCACTTTTTTTAAAAATTTACTTTCCCCAGGTCTAGTTTTCTTTCCCCATTTAGCTTCCTGGATGATGTTTGCCTGGATAATATCAGATCAGGGGTATTGACATTCGGTTAAATACATTCTTTTGTGCTGTGTGCCTCTACAACCAAATCCTCAAATGGAAGAGAATGTAAAATCAGCAGTGATGTGTGAGAATTGTCTCTAATTTTCTGTGTTGATTTCTAACACATTTGGAAACTCCCCAATGTTAACAATAAAGATCTTAAAATAATGCTAAATGAACGTGCAGATACTTTATTCTCTGTAGTGAAAACTCTGTTTGGTGATAAAAAGAATGCTGCCTTATATAATGATAACACAGGTAGTACTGTCAGCCATTTTCGTGGTTTTTTAATAGCTTGTGGACAGCTATATCTGAAATAACAATTAGCTGCTTCTGTGAATGTTAAAAAAAGGTTCTGTGCAAAACGGCTCTTCTGGTTTTAAATGCTCCATTGATGATAAGTAGGTTGAATATTTTTTTCTGATGCCATCCGTCTTCTCCCTAAAAAATGAAATGGTGCATTGGAGTTAATTAGATGGAGAACAAATCGTGGCATCAGGTATTGTTGCAGGGTGTCCTCAGTCTGTGAACAATGCCCTGAGGGGGGAATAAACCCAGAGAGACAGAAGGAAGTCCTATTTTCCTGTGCTACCACTCCATCAAACACTGATATGCTTGAAACAGATATGCTTAGTCTCCTCCACAAAATAGTGAGGTGGACATTTTAAGTCTCATTTCTTCAAATGCCCAATTCTATGCTTCTTCCTGACAAACTGCTAACTGGAACAACAATGTGCTCGGGTTAACAACAACAACAAAAATGCAGTACGTGGGGCAGGGGTGTTATATGGCACTGTTCTGAGCTATGTAATCTCAGCAGAGATCTCCCCAGGGTAGCCTTTATGAAGGCTCTTTTTTTTTAATAGGGGCTGAATTAGCTGACATACACCCTTACACTCTCTTTGGACCTCAGACTTGATGGCTGATGCCCTTGCCACCATATGGTCATGAGGCAAATCAAGGACACCCCCTGCAAGGAAAAATGGGAAGACAAGAGAGAGACTGCATCCCTAGATCCCGTATCTCCAGACTTCCTTTGCATGAGTGCAAGTAGTTCTGATTTCTGACAGAGTAAGTAAGCCGTAGGTGCAAAGGGAATTATCAAGAAAACAAGACAGGTAAGAAGAAAAAAGCGATGTAGAGTCCAAGTCCAACTGTGCATGATGTTTGATGGAGCCAGTCGCTGTGGAAAGGGCATGTTTTCTGGGGAGCCAAGGGAATGCCATTATTAGTGTAAAACAAGCACAAAGGACTTGATCTGGGCCTGGAGATCCCTGTGAGTCTGGTGGCCAAGGCACCTGGTGGCAGGGCCTGCAGTGGAGATGCCCTTTTCCTTTTTCTTCCCCAGAGCAGCAATGCAGACATTCCCTGCTGCAGTGGGACTTCCACTTGGTTGGACGCTCTGAGATCCTGGAGGCCTGGCAGGGGCAAGGCAGGCACCACACAATAGGGTGGGAAGGGGCCAAAAGCAAACGGCACAGAAGACTCTGCTCCTGTGGCCTCGGCAGACCTCAGAGAGATGGAACAGCTTCCATCTTGAGTGTTCGAGGGGAGGATCGTACACAAAAGGACCCTGCACCCCTCCTTGTTCTTCTGACTTCCCAGTTGGGGTTTGGATAGGCATGAAGACAGAATTAGACAGACAGTCAGTGTAGATAGGTAAATTGAGTCAGGTCGGATCAAGGAGGCCAATTTGAGTGAGTCCAGGAAGTTGGAGACTGTTCTCTGGAGGGACTGAAATGCCTTCAGAGCCCTTCCTCCACCCTATAAAGATAACAGCCTCGGCTCCAACCTGTTGCTAAAGTAACTGGTCCCAGGAATTGCTCCCCCCTACAGAGAGTGCTCCCTCCTCCCACCAGGCCCTTCCCTTCTCCCATCTGCTTCTCACCTTTTGGCCATCCCACCGAGCATCTCCTGGGCCTGGTCAGGACCAGGAAGGAAAGAGATAAGGAGAAGAGAGCAGGAGAACAAAAGAAGCCTAAGATACATAACAAAAAGGCAGAAGGCCTTGCTTCTTGGGATACCAGAATACCAGCTATGGCCCCCTTCCCCCTCCCTGGAGAAACCTGTGTTACCCCTTTTTAAATAAACCCTGCTTCACACGCTTGCCTTGGCGTGCTTCTCTGTTACACTTCATCATGTGAAGGAGCAGAATTCATCACCGAAAACGAGGGGTATCGGGTGTATGAAAGATTCTCTCGGCCATTTTTTAAATCATTAGGCACCAAATTCCCCCCAGTTTAAAATATCCTGCAAGCCACATCCATTGCAGCCATGCACACTGCGGTCGAGAACCCCTTACAAGGAATGTTGCCAAGTCCAGTATTGTTTTGTTTTAATTTTTTTTGTAGTTGTAGATGGACATAATATCTTTATTCTATTTGCTTATTTATATGTGGTGCTAAGGATCAAACCCAGTGCCTCACACATTGCTAGGCAAATGCTCTGCCACTGAGCCACTGCCCCAACCCAAGCCCAGTGTTTTTTTTTTTTTATTGGTTGTTCAAAACATTACAAAGCTCATGACATATCATCTTTCATACATTTGATTCAAGTGAGTTATGAACTCCCATTTTTACCCCAAATACAGATTGCAGAATCACATCAGTAAGGTGAGCATCGCTGCGGCCTCCACCCCTGGTGAAGTTCTATGAATTGCAAAGCCCTGTCTCGTCTCCACTTTAAAAATCAGTGTGGCTCCTGCTCTCTCACTGTCATTTTTAAAGGAGCAGGATGACCCATTCCGTGGAGAAAATAAGACAATAAAAAGTGAGCACCCCCCCAAAAAAAACGTGACTGGGGAGGCCCCAGCACAGATTGAGCTGAAGGGACGCTCTTGGCAAATTCTGTGCCAAGATGCTCCCGGATCTGAGGTCTTTGAAAACAAAAATGAGCCACTGAGACTTAGTTTGGATAAAACTGGGGCCAGAAAGCAAGTACAGCCCTTGACAGGGCATTTTTCTAAAAAAAGACATAATGGCAATGTGGCCTCAAGGGACACCATCTCTGGCCTGTGCTGCTCTGGAACTTTTGCTTCAGGAGGAAAAACTTTACCTTCCCAAGGGCTTCTGTCACTGCTGCTGGTTCATAAAGTGACTTAAGACGTTCCTCCTCGGACCTCTCGGTTAGGTCATGAGAGTCTTTGAAGCCCAGGCTGCCTCTTGCCTCCTCCTCCTCCTCTCCTGGCTGCCTGTCCTTGGGAATGTCCTTGCCTGCAGTTTAGAATCCTTTATGCAGAATCCGAAGACTCATTTCAACTCCCCTGAAGGTGCTCATGTTCAATAGGCGCTCTCTCAGTTGCAGGGGCCCTAATAAGGAAAAATAAAATAAACAATTGCCTTTTGCTCTTTGGTCTCATTGATTTATTCTATTTTATAAATATTGTAAAGTGAATGGATACTGGGTCTCCTGTCTGTCAATCCAAGAAAAAGCAGCTGGACAGAGACAAAGAGTCTTCTAAATAAATGAGGCCATTCGTGCAGGGTGATCTCTCATCACTGCCCTGGATGGAAACTTTGGAGACTCCTCAGGCTGCAGAGAAAGCAGGTTAATTATTCAAAGTATTTGAGCAAAGCCGGTGGATGAAAACCCAAATACTGCCCTGCTAAATTACAGAGCTGAAGAATGCTTTTTTCTCTACTGTTATCATTGACCACAGGGGCCTATAAAACAGCCTTAATCACTATCTAAGTAACTTGAACTTGAGACAGAAAGAGCCCCAAGAGGTTTAGTCACTGTGAAAACATCTTCACAGAAAGTTATCAGAAACCTTCAAATTTCCACATAAAATACTTCAAGCACATGCAATGCTCACTGTGGTCAAACGCCCTTTGTGAGAATTAGAAGCACATGTCGGAGATCAATTAGTTACTGTGCTGCTGGTTGATTCTTTCTGACATTAGTTTGCCTGGGGAAGGAAGGCTGGCCACAGGGGTGGGGGTGGGGGGGAAGACAGAGTTAGGCCCTGTCAGCAGCCAATTCCAGAACCCAAAGGTTTTTTAGGACATCAGCTCATTTAATCGGATCCCATTTTGCATTGGAGGAAACCTATGACTCTGGGAA